GAGATGAGAAGGGCTGCCTGTGTAAAGAGTAAAAAGACTGGTCAGGAGGTGGAGCAGTAGAAACAAAAATTCTAATGTGGAAAAGAACCTGGCCTGCTACAGAAGCAGAAATGATGCCACAATGGTTGGTGCAGAGTGATGGGGGGCGGGGGGCTTAGTTCTAATGGAATGGGAGAGCTGGGCAGGATCCCGTTCATGTGTAAGACCTTACCACACAAGGACTTGGAGTTTCATTGCAACAGCTGTGGGAAGCCACTGAATTATTTTAAGCTGGGAGATGGCTTAACACAACAGTCCCTCGCTGGCTGCTGTGAGGAGAATGGATTGTGATAGAAGCAGAGAGAACACTTAAGAATCTATGGACAGATGGGAGATGGCATACCATGTAAGAATATATTTTGGAGGTAAAACGAATAGATTTTTCTAGTGGACTATATCGATGGTGTGGTGATGAGAGAAATAGCTACACAAGTGAAAAATCTCAAAATAAATAGTTATATATATGAGTCTGGAGTTCAGGGAAAGGTCTACACTGACCATAATGTCCAGAAGCTGGTGCAACACGTTGATCCATTCTCGCTTGGGGTCACCTGTTCTATATAGAGTCCTTCTCAGATGAATATCCAAGGGTCAATTTTTACTGTCCTCATTGCCCCTGCCTAGGTCTCTTTCTGTTACTCTTTTGCCCCAAGGCTCCTGATCTATCTTGGAGAGACTGAGTCACATACTTCAGCTTCTGTGTATCACTAGTCCTTGGGATGCTTTTTGGTAACATGTTTATAAGACAAAAAACTTTACTTTCAGCAAAACTCTGGTTTATTATTGTGTTCATAGTTGGCAAGAGGTAGAAGGGAGGGAAAGGCCCCAAAGGGCAGATAAACACCTCCCCAAATATAATGCTCATAACAAAGAGAATATGGGGAAATCAGCCTCCTCAGGCACTGCTGGAGGGAGGCTATTTGGTATAGAGACTCAAAGTTATAAAGATGTGCTTAGCTTTTGATCCAGAAACTCCATTTCTACTTTCTTTTCATATGGAAATCATCATACAGGCGGGAAAATATTTAGTTATAAGAATAATAATGGCAGAATTCCTTGTAATAATGAAGCATACTCTATCGAATATTTCTGTGCCATATCTCATAATCTTTTACATAGCATCTACACTGTATCTAATTTAACAATAGGAGATTGTAGAGGAATGGACACCGTGCTTGCAAAGGGCAGTTACTGATTCTTATCACATTAAAAGGAAATTCTGAGAACAGGACGGTCTCCTGGCAAGCCTAGAGATGTTTTGTGACTTGGAGGCAATCCCCCACGTAACTCGGTGTTCTGGAATGAGATAAGATCGGTCACTCAGTAGTAAGCATGTGTTAAACGTTGATGCTTAGTAGTTCCTCATGGGGGTTGTGGGGAAAGAATATGGGGAAAGAGCACATGGCAATCCTTACGCATGCAGCCTTCATATGAAATTACCTTAACTCACCACACCTGTTGTGTATGTCATTACCTTAACTCTCCACACTTGTTGTGTATAACCTTAATGAATACCTGTTGTGGAGGGTGCTCTGGGCTACCCTACCCTCAAGGTTAGCCCGCCTCCCACAACCTTGTACTTGTAATCCATGTTACGCCTGGTTCCTTCCTGCGGCACCCCAGACCAGGGCCTCAGGGGCCGTGACAGGAGATATTTTATGGATAACCAAAACAATGAAATATTCCCCTGTCAGGAACAAGGGAGTGTTAACACTGAGGGAAAATGTTAATACATTGTTGAGCAAAAATAAATTACAGAGTAGTGTATATATTATAATCACATAACAACAATAAAAAGATGAAAAGATTTTATACCAAAATAGTTAACAGTGATCTTGGCATTAATTGGGACCTTCATTATTTCCTTCTTCTCTCTTTTCTTCCATCCTTCTTTCCTTCCTATTTTCTAAATGACCATGTATAAGATTTAAAAAATCTTAAGAAAAAAGGGAAAATTGGTGCTATTGAATGATAAACTGTAAATGGGCAGAATTGGGAGCGCTATTACAGATGTTAACGTGAGTACTAGCACCTGCGATTCATACCAAGTGGGGAACTGACAGTGCAGAGAGAGAAGTAGACATTCATAGTAAGTAATTGCTTTACCTGATGGTCCCTCTGAAAATATTTGCTGATATTTTTAGGTCTCAAATAATTGATAATGGACATGAGACTGAGTCAAAGTCCTGCTCAGAGTCAAATGTGACCATGCTCTTGCTCAGTGTGAGTGAAGGAGAACCACACCCAGAAGGGGATGTCTTGGGTGCTACGCTGCACCTAGGACGTTGCTTACCCTTCTCAGTGCAAGAGAACTTAGAAATAAGTGGTCTCAAAAAGACCCACCTCAGACCACAGGTGATTGCCTCAGAGTCTTTGCTTCCACTAACTCCTCTGTCTGTAGAAGCTGAAAGTCTGCCTTTGAGATTAGATATAAACCATATGGCACATTCCAGAGGTCTGAGGTATGCCTCCTTGCCTTTTTTATGCTGTGCTTTCTGCCTAGAATGCTCCTTCCTTCTCCTCTAATGACACCTGGCCCGAGGCTAAGAAATACCACCATAAGCAATCATCTGTTTATAGATTCTAACAATGGAAAGAGGACAAAATCTCTATATTCATCCTCCAAATTTATAACCCCTACCTACTTAGCCTGAGAAGTGGGTGGTATTGACCCATGTCAGTTGTAAACAGAGAGTGATGAAAAGATCAGACACACGCTCCTTGGGTTGATAAAACAGGGTTTATTTAACCAGCAGGGGTGTCCAACCTGTGGCCCACAGGCCTCATGCTGATTATGTGTGGCTGTTTTGCTCATCTGTGGTGTCAGGAATCATAAAAATTATGCATGGATCTTTTTTTTTCTCATCAACTTTTATTAGTGTTTGTGTTTATAACATAAGGTCTAAGATCACACTTATTCTTCCAATGTGTGGCATAAAAAAGAAAAATTTGGACATCACTGAAAGAGTAGAAAAGGAAATCAGCACAGTCATAATGTCGACCACGGAGATCAACAACATCCAAGAACAGACAGGATTGGTCTTCTAAAATCCTCACCTGAGGGTGCACAGGTACAGATAGTAACATCTGGTTAAGGCTGCAATCAGTCCTGGAGACTAGCCTATTAGATACAGTTAGTCTGTATGGTTAGACTAACTGTATATAAGTTTATAACTATCTAAACTTAAATACACAAGACTGAATCAGTTCTCTAAGTAGGCTAGTCTGAGGATGTGCTGGGGACCACCTCGTTGGAGCTGGAGAACATCACTAAACTCAGCTTTGTACTATGGAAATAAATGAAGACCAACAAAATGAGAACAAGCAAAGACTATTTATTCAGAACTTGCAGCAGCAAGGGAGTCAGCCACCATCCCTTGCTTTTTGGCAGACACTCAAAGGCAGACACAGGAGTGAAAAAAAGACAATACTTCAAGCATGCTCTGATTGGAGCTGTTGGCATGGGAATACTATAGACACGCTGGGGACCTAAACCAGGGAAACTGTTAGTTAATAGTCAAGTCCTGGCCATTTGGGGTTAATTGCTATAGGGGTCATTGTTTGGTTTTCTGGAGTGTTGCTAGAGATAGCAGTGTGACTTCCTACAAGTCTGACTTACAGCAGGCTGGCTTCCTGGGCCAGCTGAGTTCCTGAGCCGGTTGTTACAGGTTGTGGGTCAGAGTACTACTTTTGTATTGGCTTGGCCATTGCTCCTTTATATGTTCAATCTCTTACCACAGCTTTAGTTCAATTGCAGAGAGCAATACAACACAGTACAGTAAATCTAGGCATGAACAAGCCTGCACACTTAAACTTAGCATTGCAGAGCCAGAATAGGGTCAATTTCCCAGTAGCCTCTGAGACACACGGTAACAAACCCTTAAGTCAGCTGGAAAGATTATCCTGCAATTGAAAAACAAACATGGGCAGGAAATTGAAGGCAAACAGAAGTGACAACTAGTTTTTCTCCCAAACAACCTTCATGTCCGTTGCGTTTTATCTATCAACCTTAATTAATGCAACCATTGTGTGAGTCTAATTGCTTTCCATTACTCTCAGATTTAGATGATCTAGGACCATACATCCAAATAAAGCTATCTAGGGTGCTGTCGTGACAAGTTGGGAAAATTGCTGACGGACTTGAAGATGATACCTCCTGGCAGTCAAATTGTTCTTGGACAGGATGCCACATGCAGCTGCTTAGAGACTTCTGGGAATTGTGGAGGTGCTGTTGCATTCTAAGTGTGCGCATTTAGATTAGAAGGAAGGAAAAGACACTCCACTGTAAATGAACCAATCATTCTCCCTTGGGTTTTGTTAGGCTAGGAAGAGAGATTGCTTGTCAACTACTGAATTGATTTTTATACATACATTTTAAAATGTAGCACTTTGGCGGTTCTCAACAAAGAGTAGTAAGTAACAATAATGAAACTTCCCAGTGCTTTCTTGCTATTCATTTAGAAACATTCCTGTTTGCATTACCAGAGGCCATAGCGCTTAATTTTTTTCTCTCTCTTGAGTTATGTCTCGAATAATTTCAAATGAGACTGAGGGAAAAACTAATTTCAACTCAGTCTTATAGAATAAGCATTTGTTGATGTCCTATCTTGTTCTCTGCACTATCATTTTACATGTCAAAAGGTAATATTTCATTCCTGATCTTAATAAGTAGGAAAGTACAGAATTAAGAAAATCTTGGAAAAGCTTCATAGGAACTACTAGGAAAATTAAAATAGGATGTACACTTTTAAAATTAATAAAAATGTACCAGCAAGTAAAACATCATCTAGAAACTCCACAGAAATAAAAGGAAAGCAAGAAAACATTGAAAAACAAGAAGACAATGCCATTGACAATGTGATAACAACCAAAGGATATGACTTAAATTTCCCTTATTATAGGCAAAGATTAGCCATATTATACCTATAAATAACCCTCCTCTTAAGTAACTATTTTTTTCACATTACATGAGTAATGTGCCATTGTGGTAACAAGGTTTGAGGGAGAAACATCTCACACATGCACGTGAAAACTCAACTGTCATCCTTATAAACTACAAAAGAATTACCATCCTAAATAACTCTAGATGCCTCAGTGTGAAAAGATGAGCCAAGATGTACCAGGAAAACACAAATAACCCAAAAGTAGATGTTGCAATCCCAATACAAACAAAGTGTAATTCAAGATCAAAGAATTAAAATGGAACAAAGGATATAATTTTATACTGATGGAAATAATCAAAGTATCATCTTTTGGCAAAGATTCTAAGAGCTAGGCTCATTCATACTGAGTGTGCACTGGTAGATTTTGTTGGAGCAGGAGACTAGGCAACTGGGCTGAGACAGAATGCAGGGGCTTCAAGATGCCATCCCCGCAGGTGTTAACAATCTTCAGGTGGACGCTAATTAGAGGGCTGATAGCCACAGGCAGAACCCACTTCCACCAGCCTGTCCTCTATCTCTGTCACTGTACATGAATTCACACCTCTGACTTGGGGGGGGGGTGTGTGGAGGGAGATCGAAATCATTTGTTGTTTTGCTCATCCCAATTTATTTTCTTCTGTGTTCAGCAATGTATTCTTGTGAGTTCATATTTGTCCAGTTTAATCTAGGGGAATCCTGAGACCCTAAATTGGGGATATTTTGCTTCAGAGAAGATTTATATTTTCATGGGCCCCTTGAGGAGTCCCTTGCTTAATGCAGGAGGCTTGGTATAGTCTTTCCAGACTGTCCAGAGGTCCAAAGCTTAGTCTCCATGTGGTAATTCTGATCCTAGTATGAGCCTCAGAACATCCATTCATTTTGACTTTATTTTTCTCTAATCTGATTTCAGTGTATCTGTCTTCCCTTCGCCCTCCTTTTATTTCCTTCCCTTCTTTCTTCCTGCCATCCTTTCCTACTTTCTTCCCTCTTGCTTCAGCCATGCTAATACAAATACAGAGTCAAGTGGATGGGAGTGAGTACCCCACTGTACCCAGTGTCAGTCAGAGTAAAACACTGTGCTCTCTTCTGAGCAGCACTTTTAAAGAGGACCATGACCCAAGTGATGCACATCCAAACATGTCAGCTGTGATAAAGATGAAGATTTGCTTATCTGGAAAAAAGAGAAGGCATGGGAACTCTCTTGAAATATCTAAAAAGATCTCACAAGACCTAGAGATAAGGCTTCTCTTTCCCTTCCAGTAGCAGAACCAACAGGTGGATCTAGAAGGAAGGTTCATGTCAGCTCAACAGAAGATGGCACTTGTACTTGTGCAAATTGGAATGGGCTGCCTTTGTTAAGGGTAAGCACCCTCTGTACACTCATGTGTATGCAGAATAAGTATCTTTGGCATTTATTCTGTGGCTAAAATGCTCTACCAAATAACCTGTACTCTCCCGGTGCTCAGATTCTAGGCTGGTTTATTCCATGATTCTCTCTCTTTAGATATAAAACAAGACATTGTAGCCACCTGGAAAAAGTATTTATCCCACATTCTCCTCTCCTAATGGAAGGAAATTTTCTGTTGCAGTATTGAAGAAACCTTTCAAATGGCTGAATCATAGTAATCATTAAGATATTTTACTTTCAAAATAGTTTTTCTCATACTATGCCCAAAAAGGCGATTAATTTTTATGTAAAATATTCTCCTCACACATATCCACGCTGGGAAAAATAGGCTGCATTTTTCAATAATAAGTTTCAGTCAGAATAGAAATTTGATTCGTCTTAAACTAAATAGAACAGACACTGGTAAGTGAGAAGAGATGACACAGCCTGAATTATATAATAAAATGTATACTATATTTCAAGGTAGTTTAATATTGAAACTATAATTCTTAATAGAACTGAATACAAACTTTTGAATATTTTTGTAGAGGATATTGAGATTTTAGTAATCGTTTTCCTCAGTATTTTACATGAAAATAAAATAATACTTGTTCTAAAATCATTGCTTTGGGGAAAGCAGAGCATATAGAATTCCACTGTGGAATAAGAATTTATGTTGAAATGTTTCAGAATTCAGATACTCTTTTCTCTGGATTGCAGAGTGACAATAGAACTCTGAGGGAGAGAGACTGGAGACCTATAGTCCTACCAGCGACAGTGGGCACAGTGGAATGGGGTGACCTAGAGGAGAAAAATCAGTCCAGACACAGGGAATGAGAGCAAAAGAAAGGCAGATTGTAGGCGAGATATTCTCCAGGACAAAAAGGAAATTTGACAAGGCAAAGGGACAAGAGAAAAACTATTTAAAACTAAGCTATTTCTCCGTATTTTATGAATGCCTTGGGGAATTGAATTATATGATTTCAGAGGAAATTAACAAAGGAGGAACTTTGGAAGCGTAACTGCTACTGGACTGGCTACCTAATGTCTTAAGTGGAGAGTCGGAACTTATCCAGAGGAGATAAAAGTTATAGAGATAATGGCTAAGCTGAGGAAGTAGTGTTGTAGTCCTTAAGGCCAGACTCTTGTAGACAGGTTATACATACATATACACATACATGTATATTTATTTAAGTTTGGTTTCTATAGTAGAATAGGAAATTCCTCAGAGTCCAGAGATAAGAGTAAAAGACTGGGTTTGCCTCTTAATAGATGTGATTCAGTTTATTCATTTTAGAAATAGAATGACCATACACAGTTAACCCTTAAACAATGCAGGATTATGGGCACTGACTTCCTGGGCACTTGGAAATCCTCGTGCAACTTGTGAGTCCTCTCAAATGTAACTGGGAATAGCCTACGGGGTTTAACCGAAGCCTTACTGATGACATAAACAGTTGACTAACACATGTTTTGAATGTTACATGTATTATATATGGTATTCTTTCAATAAAGTAAGCTAGAGACAAGAAAATATTATTCAGGGTGGGGAGGGTAAAACAAAAAAGAAAAAGGAAAGAAAATGTTATTGAGAAAAGCACAAGAAAGACAAAATGTAGTGTTCCTTAGGGGGACGTGGACCATCGTAGAGGTCTTCATCCTCGGACATCATCGTGTTTGTTGAGTAGGTTGAGGACGAGGAGGAGGAGCAGGAGGAGGAAGATGTGTTGGTCTTGCTGTCTCAGGAATGGCAGAGGCAGGAGAGGTAGAGGAGGTGGAAGGGGAGGCCAGGGAGGCAGGCAGTTACTTGGTGTAACCTTTTTTTTTTTTTAAATTTGCTTTCATTGTCTTTCATTTTTTTTTTTTTATGGAGACAGAGTCTCACTTTGCAGCCCTCAGTAGAGTACTGTGGAATCAGCTCACAGCAACCTCCACCAACCCTTAGGTCCTTGGGTTTAAGTGATTCTCTAGCTTCAGCCTCCCAAGTAGCTGGGATTATAGGAGCCTTCCAGATCGCCTGGTGCTTTTTGGTAGAGACGAGGTCTCACTCTGGCTCCTGCTGGTCTCGAACCTCTGAGCTCAGGGCAATCCACCCACCTCAGCTTCCCAGGGTGCTAGGATTACAAGCATGAGCGACTATGCCTGGCTATGGGATGGTGTCCTGTCCAGAATTTGTTCCTGACTTGCATCCGGAGCTGCCATAATAGTCTCCTGCCACTGACCCTGAACTGAAATAAACGAGTTAGGAAATAAGTGAATGACTCAATGAAGACAAATTATTATAAAATGAAACTTCATAAAGGATACAATAATTATACAAATTTACAATAAACTATGCAGTATGAAAGAGCTCAGTGAGCCACCATGGTTGTGATTGATCGCTTTTAGACTGCATGATGGGAGGAGGCACACCTCACAAATTTTGCTTTGCAAACATTTATTTTTGGATTTAATGCACCACCTCTACTACTGCCTTTCCCCCACTGAACACCAAAAATTGGGTAAATAATTACTTTACTTGATTTTATTAGTCTTCCTAATTTATTTCAGTGTTTCTGGTCTTTACTTAGAAGATGTTTTGTGAGCAGAAATATCCCACGGGAATTAAACTCTTGTTTATATCAATTAGCCTTTGGTTAAAAACTGGTTTCATTTCACATTGTTTCACTTAGATTTACTGTTTCCAAGAACCTTTTATTTCCTTTTGTACTTTTTTCTTTTTCAGACGAAGTCAAGATGTTTTCTAGCTTCTTCCCTGACCACCGGCCCAGAATGGTGACCAGGCATCCTCAGCCATATGCTTGGCTTAGTCAACAACCAGAAACTGCTGACATGCACCCGACCTCTGGAGGAAGCCTCTCTGTCAGTTTCTAACCAGTCTGCTCATCATGTAGCTGGTGGCAGGGAGTGGAGGGGACAAGGGAAAATGGCCATTGCCACCCGCACCTTTTCTTTGAGCTTCTTTCCTGAGAAGGGAGGTTTCTGCATCCAGATTAAAGACTGAGAGGAACAACAAAAGCCACAATACTGAACTTAATTTCAAGCGCCACTTCTTTCATGGAACCCATTAACTGAGAACTGAATTGTCTCATTGTTGCTACTGATAAACAGTGAAAATAAACAGCAGCACTGGGGAGGAAAGGAAGAAATCATTTTATAAAAACGGATATCTAATCTCTGAATAATTAAGAATACCCAATTTGTAGGAAATTTTTTAAAATCCTTAATCTACTTTTATGTTAGAGCATGACATTACTAGTCCTGGACATTACAGTTTATCATAATAATTATGGACAATGATGCTAAAGAATTTCACTTATTGGAAGGGCATGCTGAATTATAGAATACGATACATTGAATATTTAATAAATTAACCCCCTATTATGGTGATAATCGGGGTTCCAGAAACAATGCCTGCTGCATGTCAGCACTTAACCAATCCTAGTTAATGATAATGGTTTGAGAGCAAGTGGATGCCCCTAATTGGTTCACAGTCCAAATTAGAAGCACAGAGAAATCACCCTCCAGGTTAAAATCATTCTACAAAAGATTGTTGGTAGTTTTGAATAGTTAAAGGGAAGGAAGGAAGATTGGAGCCTTTTGCAGGGGTTGGCTCCTTTGAGAGTGTCTGGGTTTTTAGATAGAACATATTTGTATACATTTTGAACTTATTTGTATACATTTTGGCTTTGGTTGGTAGGTCTGATTATTTTTCTTTAATATAACTTTGAATTGTAACAAATTCTCCTGGGTGCTCAGCAATGGATTGAGTCCAGAATGTATACTACTATTCAAGAGAGGAAGAAGAGGAGAGGGAAATAGAGGGAGAGACAGGAGGAGAGAGAGAAATAGCAAAGGGAGGAAGAAAGGAAGGAGTAGGGCATGGAAGAGGAAGGGATAAGGGGGCAAAGTGGGAAAAGACAAAAGAAGAAGGGGGAGAAAGAGAGGAAAGGAGGTGGAGGCTGGGAGGAAGCAGACTGAATAAGAACATCTTACTCATTTTGCCACAGCAGATGGACTCCAATGTCTTTATATATAATATTCAAAAGGGAAACTGTAGATGTGATGGGTGACAGAAGGCTCTTATGCTTGGAGAACCAAAAAGAAAAAACACGATGAAATCCTTGATTATGACATCACTGCTTAGTTTTTTTTTTTTTTGCAGTTTTTTTTGGCCAGGGTCGGGTTTGAACCCACCACCTCTGGTATATGGGGCCAGCACCCTACTCCTTTGAGCCACAGGCGGCGCCCCTGCTTAGTTTTTAACTTCGGAGTGCTATATGATTTGAATACAAGTTTTTAATATATTTCAACTGGATTTGACATAGAGATAATAATACAAATTCATTTTCTTCAGTAATTTAGAATTCTTGTCTCTCAGCTTAATTCAGAGACATTTGATAGACAGAAGTCATTTTAATGGTGGAGGAGAAAATGCTGCTGGTGACTTTAGGAAGTGCTGAGCCTGGCTTTTCTGGGAAATGAGCAGAGATCATTAAACGCAAAGGGCAGGGAGAAGGTGAAGAGGTTTGCTCCCATGGGCGCTTACATCTGGTTGGTTTCCATCTGACTGATATACATCCTTTTTAGATTGCTGTCCTGCTTGGTTCTTCTCAGCACCCTCTTCAGGGATCTCATAAAGCAAATAGAGAAATGTATTAGAATAGACGAATAGAACAGAATTCCCACTGCCCTAGTTGATCTGCCTGCACTTATCCTATAGAAAAGTCCTATTTCATCCACCTGAGCTCTAATTTCTCACCCAGAGGATATTACAGTGTGAGGGGATTAATATAAATAGAAGGCATTGCTTTAAGTCCTACACTTCACTAGTTTGATGAAGTTTGAGGAAAATAGAAAGAACTCAAGTATGTTGAGGACTAGAGATTTCACACTGGTAAAGCATGAACTTTATTTATCAACTTGAAAAGAAAGGATTGTTTAATTATGTAAAATTACCCTTATCACTGGTAGCATATCCACAAATCTTGGCCGAATTTTTCTGATCCAGACTATTAAATTTCATATTAAAATATGATGAAAAATGTATTCATTAAAAAGGCCCTTTAAATAGATAAAGATTGAAAAAACAGTGAGAAGGGCAGTGCCTGTGGCTCAAGGAGTAGGGCCCCAGCTCTGTATACCAGAGGTCACAGGTTCAAACCCAGCCCTGGCCAAAAACTGCAAAAAAAAAAAAAAAAAAAAAAAAAGAAAAGAAAAAGTGAGAAAAAACAAGAATAGTGAGTATACCTAGGAAATACCATAAATAACAACTACATTTTAGGATACTTTCCCCAAAGGACGAAAACAAAATCAGGATCTAAAAATAATTACAGAAGTAGTCGAAATGTAATTGAGGACTGAGCACCGATTAGGCACTGTTCTACCTGTTTTTAATGTATTTATTGTCTTATGTAGTTCTCACAAAACCCCTCTGTGGTAAGTGCTGTTCTATTTTTAATTTTGTCAATAAAGAACTAAGAAACCAAAAATCTTACAGAATGTAGAGTGTGTACAAAGAGAATGAAATGCATCTGAATTTGAGGATGTCAGAGAATTCATCTCCTGAATCCTAGAAGGAAGATGTTGGAAAATATTTAGTAGCCACGGAAGACAATAAAGATTATACAGTTGGTGCAAAACGGAAAGCAAGTATAGCAAAAAGCATATTCACAAACCCAAATAGGCCATCAGATTGACTTCAGGAACGCTAAAATAACGAGCTACGTTTGATTTTGCTTCTTTCCTTAAATTGCCGCTACTTGATTGCTGAAAAGCTTTTCAATCTCTGCAGTACTCAAGCTGGGTGAATGGAGCCTGTCTCTGGGCACCTTTCATCTTGGAGTCAAATCATCTGCAGAGACATGATATTATGTCACTACCATTTTAAGCATACATAGAATAAACACACAAACTTGATAGTAATAATGCTAGTATTTCTGGAGTGATAGGAATAATTTATGCTTAGGACAGAAATTGAGCTTGACATGGATGTTATTTACACTTTTAAAGTTAACATATTTTTCTTGTATTCCTTCAGGAGGAAAAGAGCTAAAACAGCAGTTAGCGTCTATTAGCACTTAGCTGGCGACAGTGGACTATTTATTTGGTTTTAAAGAACATGGTTTAACTGTGGCCGTCCGGAAAATAAGGACCTTATCATACTCTAGGCACTCACAGTGTGCACCACAGGCCACAGAAAAGCACTTAGTAGTTGTGTGTAATGAAATTTGGGAAATCTGAAAAGGAAGAGCATCTCACTATTACTAGCAGCACTATAATAAATCTTTCGTAAATATGAATTATTTCCTAATTTGTTTTTGAGTTTGAATTTTTGAGTAGATCTCATCTTCTTAAAGTAAGAGGCTTCTGAAATTTATGGGACCCCAGGTAAATGTAAGGCAAACATAATATGCACCATTGATTCGACATTCTGAAAAGATCCCATGTACTACGTGCTATGCTGGGTAAGAGTGACAGCAGCAAGTCCATCCGTGCCCGTTAGGTGCTCCACTGAGGTTGGGGAGGAGAATTTTGATGTGTTAAATATTCTTTTCCTGGAAAGTAAAAAATGAAATAAGCACCTTTCCTTCTATAACACAGCTATCCAATAACCACTTGAAGGCAATGCCATAATCTTTTTGAAATCTTCTTCCCACACATGATACACAACACAATAATGTGATGACTTTGTATTGTCACAAAATATCGAAAGTTTCAAGGAGGAGAAATTTGGACGAGTCTTGGGAGAAACTTGGACGAGTCTTGGGCTGCTGCATGCTGGGGACCCTAAGCGGCACCAGGAGGTAGTCTTTTGTCCTCATATCCTGAAGGGACTTGTAATTTTTACGCCCTCCTCTCCCCGGCGGACCCATTCCCTTTCGTTTTTCAGAGGAAGAAACTCATATTCAGAAAGGTTGAGAGAGCAACTGAAATTGGAACCAGGATTTTGGATTTTTAAACATTTTAGTTGATTTGCTGCACAATTCTGCTCCTCTATCTCGGGTAGAAAGGCTGTATTATAATGATATACTTTGAGAGTTTAAGGGAGTATTCTTATGCTCCCCTTTAGTCAAACTTCAAGAACTTGTAAGTAGAAGGTCCGTGGAGACAGCAGACGATTGTAAATAGAACTTAACGCAAGCACAGCCCGACCAGACCCTCTCTAGGCTCAGACACTTTGCCTTAACCCACTCAGCGCTCCCACGAGTCGGCTGGTGGACAAGTGAGACTACGACTCCCAGGATGCAGTTCCTCCTCCTACCATCTACGCAGCCCGGGCTCCACCTCATTGCATTCTGGGAAATGTAGTTGTCTGTCACTAACTGCACTGTCCCAAAACCAGGACTGTTAGGTCAGAGGGGTCCGCCCCTCCATTGACCACACCCTCTTTGTGGACCCCGCCCCAGGTTGCTTAGGAGATGGGAAACGCCGCCGAATCTTGGTAGTAGCCTTCACGCCCCGCAGGGCAGGTGCAGAGCGCAATCCTCTGAGGTCTGTACCTTGAGGGCGCCCATGGAGAACTTTCGCAGGTGCTGCCCCGAATGGTGCGAGACCTCCGAATACTGCTATGAGATCGGCCCCACTGACGTGCTGGAGCGCAAGGGCTCTCTCACCCTCCGCTCCCGTCACAAGAAATACTCGAAGCCCGTGTTGGTGAATTCTTGGTGAGCGAGTTCCCCTCATTTTCCGTGTGCTCAAAGAGGAGGGAAAGGGGAAGGATTGGACAGGAAAAGAAAGGAGAGTAACAGAAAGTGGACGGGGTGGAGCAGAGAGAGGAAACAGGAGAGGTGAATGAGAAAGGAGGTGAAGCGCAGAGAAAGAGGGGAAAGGAGAAGAAAGAGGTGAGAAAATGATGAGAGAGAAGTGGGATGAGAGAAGAGGGAAAAGAAAATGAAGGGAAACAGAGAACGTGGAAGGAGAGATGGGGCGGATGGGAGTGAGAGTTGGAGGAGGAGATTAGAGAGGCCTCCAGGAGCAGCTCCCGAGCACACACGGGACCTGAGATTTCAGACCGTCCACGCAGGGGAAGGAGTTGGAGGTGTTTTCAGAGGCCTGGAAATCACTTTCTGAGACAAGTACTTCCTAAAAGGCATCTCAGAGGCCAGGGGCACAGCAGGAGGGAGATGTCTGCTCAGAGGAACCAGATTCCAGAGTTGCCATTTCTTGGAGGGGCAGAGGTGCACACTGAGTGATTTGAAAGAGGTTCCTCAATGACCCCGAGACTACTCACGAGGATGCAAAATGGCATCTCCCATTGGGTAAAGCAACCACACATAGTTTGTTGGAGTATGTTGTGTTTACACCTTTTGATTAGTTGGCCACATTTAAAACTGGGAGATTCACATCAAAATCTAGGTTTTTGTCTTCTTTTGAAAAGTTGAAAGACCTAGATAGTATTTTGTTCCTTCTGGTAACTATTAATGTATGGGAGCTGAGCACTGGCTGCTCCTTCTGATGGGTCCTGTTCTCCCTGGAGTAACTTCTCTCATCCAGTTCTTGCCTGGCCCCTGGAAGCATTTGGTTTACTTCCTGCGCTTTAGGGCTTAGGCTTGAAATTCACTTAGAGAGTCTCTTCTTTTGTATCCCAGTGTCCAATAGCAACGCCATGACTGGGAGAAAAGTGGAGACTTTTAGAGCAGCTAGGATTCTTTCCTTTGGGTTATTTTTTCTGGCTATATGATCCACCATAATTACTTTTGGAGTATTTGGAATATTTGGGGGAAATGGGAAGAAAGAAAGAAATGAGAAGTCACAAATCTTGTCTACTTTATACTTTTGCTTTTGAAAGGAAATAAATGATTTTGACTTTAGCCCTGAAGCTAAGCCCTATTTGGTCCCATTTATTCATGTAATGTCTGTGAGACTTGCATTTTCTGTCTTGCAAACTTTCTAAAGCCTATTCTCCACAAACTTACTTTTCTACTTTTACTTCTCATTCCTAAAACAGACTGTCTACTTTGAACTCAGTGTAAGAAGTTATGTAGATTTGGAATCCACAGCTACACTGCAAAACACAAAATCTTCTTTTACCCTTCAGGGCCTTCCAGCCAAACACTTAGCTCTTCTGTGGTTCTGTTACTCCATAATAAATATGTCATAATATAAATATGTTACTGTCGTAATATAAATCACCTCTAGAAGTTATTATTGAAGACAAAGACCCCTTTGCAAAGGGGTCAATAATATACGGTGGCTAATACTATTTATTTAGTACAATGTAATGGTTGAAAACGTGGGCTCTAGGCTTGGATGCAAAGCCTTCTGCTATGTGATGTGGCAAGTGACTTGATTGCTCTGGGCTTCTGTTTCTGCAACTGTAAAATAGGGATGATGAGATTATTATAAAATTAAACGAGAATGAAATTATATGTGAAGCACCCTTCAACATATAGCCTGACACATAGTAAGGACATAGAAGTTATTTATGTGTATTAGGACATGGTCATTGACATCAAGGAATTTCATAGGCCAGCAAAGAAGAATAATGTCAATAAATTCAGTAAAATCTGATTTGTGCAAAACAGAGATAATCATAAGAAGCAAAGATGGTAGTGGGGTTTAGCGTGTGTGTGTGGTTTCCTGAGCGAGGTTTTGAACTAAGAGCAGGTGCTCCATCAATGGACAAAAGAGAGCAGGTAATGGAATAGTAAGAAGCAGCATGACAGGAAATAGAAATAGTTCTCCATAGTGGACAGATACTGTTGACCTTCATTACGGGTGGATTGGAAATTTGTAAATTCACATACTTGCTAAAATTTATTTGCAACTAAAAATTGATACAGGAGGTACTTTTGTGGTCATTGGTGATATGTGCAGAGCAGCAAAAAAGGCAAAAAATTGGAGTCAAAATGACACTCTGCCTTTTTGTTTCAACTCTCATATTATAAACAAGTATCTTTTTCATGATCTATTTAATGCTATGTTTTTGTCTTTTCATTCTTTTTCCTGGTGATATTTTTGTTAACATGGCCTTAAAACATGTGTTAGATAAACTTCACTCAGGTATAAATTGTAGTGCTGTTGGCAGTGAATTCAGGTTAATGAATCAACAGTATATATTAAATACAGTGTCTTTAAACAGAAACACACATAAACAAGGTTATATATTGATTGGTAGACAAAAATATTGTGCCCAGAGACTCACAGGAACATAACTCTGTACTTCCCCTGGGAGCAGTGATTTAGAATTTACTAATTGAATGTTTGTGGCAACTTTGTAGAACATACAAATCACAAGAATCAGCTGTAAAATGTGAGAGCACTAGCATTTCTTAGATGACTCCCAAGCAGATATCCTTGTTTTTCTTGCATATTCAACCAGTCACCAAGATCTCTGTCCTAAAAAGCTGCATAAAATTCAGATTGTGTAAATGTCTCAATGAATAATATCATTGACTATTTTGTTTTCGTGCATTTTGGTCATAATTGTTAGTTTTCTATTGATTTGTTTTATAGTTATGTTAAATTTTCATTGCATTTTATTTTTATTATTTTTTTTTTTACTCTTTTTTTTTTTTTTTTTTTCAGTTTTGGCTGGGGCCAGGCTTGAACCCATCACTCCCAGTATCTGGGGCTGGCACCCTACTCCTTGAGCCACAGGTGCCACCCTTTCATTGCATTTTAATATCTTTTTATTAGTGATTTCTTGTTTAATTGATGAGAACCTAATATCTATCATATAAATATACCATGTGTGTGGCCTCTCTATTGAATATTTGATCAATTCAGTGGCTGAACCTATGATTTACTTCTAATCATAGGTTTCAAAGATTTTGATTTTTCCAGTTTTTCTTTTTATCTGACAGGTGATCCAAGTCAGTTTGGCCTCACTACTCATATTAAAAAACAGTTGTGTATAGTAAATATGATAAATTAAATATACCCAGAATGGTTGTTGCGGGATATCCGTTACAGGAATAAAACATTGCCAGAGAGCCATCTCTTCCTAGCAGCTAGAATGGTATATCATCTTTATCACACCTTGATGCTTCTGAGTGATACTTTTGTAGAAATTATCTTTCCTGGCTTATTTCTGCAGCATTTATGGAGACATAGCATCAGAAGATTTCATTAGAAATTCTGAGTTGAGGGATAATTTTTTTCTTAGGATGTATCTTCCCACTCACTAGAATAATGAAATACTAAGAAGTAGGACAATTTAGACTTGCCCTTAATAAATTCTCTTATGTGACGTTAATTCTTATGTTCATTCATTCATTCTCATCTTTTCCTCGGCCAAATTGACATCTGGTAACAAGTGATAATAATTTAAAGCAAAAAAAAAAATTCATTTGGATCTCCATGGAGACAGTTTCTGTTCTGGTCTCTATGGTGACACTTAGTTTTAAGGACTCAGGTTAATTTTATGTATTTATAATTTTAATTACTTTTCTTTCCTGCCTAAGCATCAAATTAAAGAGCCTGAGAGAGTTTTACAGCCCACCCCCTCCACCACCCACCCCTACCATAGGAAAAAACCAGAAAGATAAGGGGAAAAGTGGGAGGGGGAGGAATATGGTGATAATTGTGGGGTAGGAGAATTTATAGTTTTAAAAATTTTTATACAGAATCATGTGGGAGTAATAAATTAGAACTACAATTAAAGAGGAAAACTAATCTTTCCATGAAGTTCTTCAGACCCTATTGCTATTTAGACAGGGAATTCATGTACATTTAAGGTACTCAACATTCAAAAGAGAAACCAGTTCCAAGGCACCAGAATATCATTAGCATACTTAAATAGAAAATAGAATGTCTGAAGTTTCTAATTTTTTTGTATCATTCTCCCTGTGTTTAGATTTTCTTGAGTACTAACCTCAAAGTACTTAGAATCACTCATAGCACTGAGGACCAAACCAGAGTTAAGTAGCTCTTTGCCAATCAGCATTCCCATCTCCTTGTGTCTCCAACACACATTCAAGAACTAGGATAAAAATGTAAAGAAAAAAAGTCAAGCTCCTTAGTAACCACAGGCCGTACACTGCCCCTTTGCTGAAATTCACAAGGGCTGCACTTCCATCAAGACTTCATCCATCGGGTGATGCCTGTGGCTCAAAGGAGTAGGGCACCAGCTCCATATGCCAGAGGTGACGAGTTCAAACCCATCTTCGTCCATCTACCTTTAACAGAGACTCAGTCCTTCACTTGAAAGCTTATTAACACTCACTTTGTGCACATTTAAAACAAACCAGTTTATGTGGTTTCCTTGCACACAGTGTAGAATTTGAAGAAAGGATGGAAGATGGTTTAAAGGGGCTTTTGGGGGTCAATAGTGAGAAAGGAGGAGGACAAGCCTTGAGACAAAGGATAAGAATATAGTAGATACTTAATTGATGTTTATGAAAATCAACGAACAAATGAGGAAGTAGAAAGAGCACAGACAAAATTCCAAAAGGCCCTGAAGGCTGGGACCCTATATTTATCCTTTAAGGAGGCATTGAGTTAAAAGACTACAGCATAGCACAAATCCATAATAAAATCAGAGTTGATTTTTGCAGCCATGATCCTGGTGCAACGGGACAACGTGGAAGCATGTTGGGTCACCTCTATATAAGTGAGCTGAGAAGGGCATAACCCATTAGGCTTCTGTTAAAATGGTAAACAATTGAAAAATGGAAACCACACTGTGCTCTTCCTAGTCGCTGTACATGACACACCAAGAGGG